ATGAATGGATGGATGAGAGAATGGATGAATGGATGGATGAATGGATGGATGAATGGATGGATGAATGTTATGAAATGGTCATACCTTATCTGAGAGGCAAAGGCGATCAATTACGCCCATGTCTGCAGGGGGGCTCTGGATTCTCTTTGTCATAACAGAACCAAGAGACATCTCCTTGTCAAAATTAACCCTCCTGAGGAAAAAAAAAAAACATGCAAAAGATCATGAGCTAAGGACAGCATTATTTTTAAGAATCATCTTCTTTTCTGGTCAGAAAAATTTGATTCAACTAATACTTAGTGGATCAGCAGACAATAGCAAATATTAGAAGGAAAGCTGTGCATACAAATAATGTGCATCACTTGTAGCTTCAATTCTTCTGTGCTATCCTCTAACCTCCATAAAGCATCATCATCAACTCTATTCAACTACCACATGACAGCTCTTTCACTAGCCTCCCTAGAGTCGTACCTTAATACTCCAAGTAACAAAGGCCACAGTGGCTGGAAGAAAGGATACTCCACTGCTGCATAGCACTGATCATGACCTGTGGGTGTGGCAAGTTCTTCATAGGCCAAGATGATGAAACCTTTTAATTTTTCTGATGAAAGAATTCGAAAAGTCAATGACAAGTAAATGTCAATTTTCCTCCTTCAACCACATCATTAAGTCATAGGTATTGTATGGGCAAATAAAGGTAGGAAAAATTAGGTGGTATGTTGCAGGAAATGACCTATACAACTACTTCAAGAGGTTGGTGGAGGTTTTGTAGCATGTTGCACATACTTTGGATCATATGTAAATAACGTCATCACAGATGAAAACATGAAAAACAAAAAACGTGCAGTCAAAGCATAGGAAAATTTAGAGAGTCTATATTGTTGTGACCTTTCACTGATTGCATTTACATCACCCATAGTGCAGTTTGGGCTTGATATGGAACATGGAACAAAACCTTCAACAACCTTTTTTGAAATAGCTGTATATTCACCCAAAATTTGGAAACAATTGGATCTAAGGAAGCTGCTCACAACATCATGATAGCTTGATTATATCCTGCAACTTAATTGTCCACTGTGGTTTTATAGCTTCACACACACATTCAGTTGCTACTATAGTGATCAATGTTCAACGTGCAAAAATCAATAATAAGGCATCAGACAATCGATCAAAGTAAAATTTCTCACCAAGAAAGAAACGCATGTCCACAAATATTTCATTCAACTGTCTTCTAGTATCTTCTAGATCCACTGCAGATGAGGTGTCCTTACTGTCATCACTGCCCCCTACATTTTCTCCACCATTATTCGATGGGTTTTCTGAAACATCCTTGAGCTCTGGTTTCTCCTCCTTTTCTTCCTCCCACTCTGGCACAGCTTGTCCTTCATTATTTTCTTCTGTATTGCTTGGCAATCCAAACCTTGAGGCCTCAGGCTCAGTGTTTGGAATCCTAGTACTAGTACTATTTTGATTCAAACTGTCTCCAGAACACTCTGTGGTGTCAGGTTTTTCATCATCTTCTTCATGCTCTTCATCGCTGCTTTCTGATTCAAACATTTCATCTTCAAGGCTAAGGAACTCTGATTCCAAATCAAAAGACTCCATTTTCATCAAATCAGTCTTTTTGGCCACACAACTTTTATTTGTTGAGTCAACAAATGAATCCTTACTGATGCCATCGACTCCAGAATCATTATCATCTACTGGTTTAAGTTCCAAGTGTTTTGTATTGCGTTCAGTGTAATACTTGCTCTGATTCTCAGAAGTCCCAGTAAATTCATCCTCTACAATTTGAGTTATTATATTTTCTAAAATGCAACTTATAATTGAAGTGATGCTTTCGTCGCTTGAAACTATGCCTTCTAGATATTTATTTTCAGTGCATGGATTAGCTGAGTTGACACAGTCTCTGCTCTCTCCAATATCATCTTTAAGATCTACTTTCTTTTGACTTTCATCAGAGTTGGAACTCCTAAGTTCATTTATATCGCTATCCATATTTGACAAATCATTCTGCATCGTTTTATCCAACTCTTGATCCTTATTACTTTCCACAATTTCTCTATCATTGGTACAGTTATTTGAAATAATGTTCTCTGCATTAGTGTTGGAAGTTGCACTTGATGGATCAGTGTCAATTATTTTTTTGTTGTTTTCCATATTGTTATCTTCAGCCTTAGAGAATTCTGCATTAGAACCATCTGATTCAAAGTCTTCTTGGTCAACAGGATCTTTGGAATTTATCCCATCATTTGATTCTGGGATGCTTATATTTCTATCTTCTAAATCATTACTTGCACAATGCTTAGTGCTTCCACTATCAACTTGCTCACTCCCTGACTTGGATAAAGTCTGAGAGCTGTCCAGTCCATTATTTGTGTCCTTAACTTGTTTTTCATTAGGAAACTCAACATCTTTGAGGAGGGGCAACAGCTTCATGTATATTTGATATTGATATTGAAGAAGAAATTGCTTCAGGGGATGGTCCTTTGAACTGCAGAAATAAAAAGCAAGTTGCTTAGAAAAATACTCACAGTAATTGACTTCTTGATCATCCATTTGCATTTTGTACAAATCTGTGTAACAGGTCACAGGCTCCAAACTAAAGTCCTTGTTACAAAAATCTGAAGTATTACTATAACAAGATCTGACTTAGATTGGGTGGGGGAGTCCTATGATATGATACCCTTGCGTATTTAATAACAACAACAACAACAATGATAATAAATAACAATAGGGTGTCGTAAAGCTTTACCTAAATATTTTGTTTATTATGTTGTTTATTAGGGCAGTGTCTTCAGGTGAATGTTTTAGCTGTTCTCTCAACTGTTGAGGCCACACCTACAAATTAAAACAAAATAATATCATAAAATTTATAAGTAATTCAATCCTTCACAGCTCAATTTGTGTAGTTCCAGAAATTATCCATACCCCCTCACCCCCTGCATGGAGGAATTTTTTCAAGAGCCCCCCCCCCCCTGTAAATTCCAATTTTCTTCCAAACAAACTCTGTAACTTTGTTCTTCTCTGACCCCTCACCCCTCAGAAATTCCAAATTCTACTTTGGGGGAGGGTATAGATAATTTCTGGAACTACACAATAATATACCAGTTTCGTATTCGATGCATACCACAACTGTTTTTGAAGGCCACACACTTATGATATAAGCTTTGCCTTGTTTTTAAGTAAGCTGTTCACAGGATTTCAAAACATTTGAATGTATAATTTAATTTGTGCATTAATAACAATTAATGCACAGCTTAATTACAGTTGACTTGTGCAAATGATTTGGTCTTAAATGACACAAAGCCTGTAGAAATGAGTGAAGGGACTATAAAATAGAAGTGTGTGTATAAGTTAATTTGCCTTTCATCAGGTGAATATAGATTTGCTCTTACTAAACATTGTGTATTCAGAATAAGAAATTCATATATTCTCACCACATCTTGCTCATACTCTAAGATCTTTGTATATAACAGTCTTTGTTCTTGTTGTTCTTTAGAAACTGCCACATTTGAAGCAAATCTCCTGAAATAGCAAGTGTGTTACTATCATCAGTACGACCTCTATTAAATGACTACCTATCATCATCATCATCATCATCAGAGTTAAAAACACTTACTGAGAACTGAAATTAAGAAAACCATATATTTTACTATGAAATAGCTTAATATTTTGATTGAAGTTAAGTGTCAGTAACCTTAAATGCTGTTATAAGGACCCAATCATTCTCTCAAATTATAATGCTACACTTTTGGAGGTAAAGTACATTAATCAGTTGCATTATACTTTAAGATATGACTATTTATTTACCAAACATAAACACCTAATTGCTGGGTTTCACTTGAGTCGTCATCATTTCTTGTCTCATGCTGAATGTTCATCAGCTGAATCAAAAGTTTTTGATAGAATTCTTTCTGGGTGACAGCACATGGTGGTCAGTGTTTGACCACCATTTGGAGCAGATAATGAGATTTAGACTACTTTTATCAGCTGATTGAAACCCAGCAATTGCAGATTATGATTTAACATACCTGTTTGCTTCAATCTGAAGTCTCTGTTGTCTTTCCCAAACTTTCTTTCGTATCTAAACATCTGATGTTAATCAAATAATTTTCAGCTAAAATATGGTCAAATGAATGTACTGTTATAGAGCATCTCCAGCTTCAGGTAATAAATTTGTATAATGTGCAGTAATTATAAATTAAATAAAATGTAGACAAAAAAACTTTAATTTTATTGTATCTTCAAACAACCTCTGGATTGATAATCAAAGTCTGGAGAGGGCTAATGGGATTCACATATGGTATTGGAATATTTTAAAAACCCTAGAATCAAGTGAGAGACCCTACAAACACTACCCTAAAATTAAAACATGGGATGCTGATTGCTGATTAAGGAGCAGGTGAAGCTAGGTTGGTTAGTGGCCTCGGCCTCCAATGCTAGAGGTACGAGATTTGATCCTCAGGATGTCCACCTGTGTTTTTATTTAACTTCTCTCTGTTCTATGTAGCGTTATAATCTGAGGGGGTAAAGGGCCCACCCCGGAGCACTTCATACATGAAGCTCTGGATCGGTAGAATATATTGGGCAACCACTCCCAGAGTTATCAAAGGAAAATATTTGCCTATTGCACTATTTGTCTGGAATCAATCCACAATCTCTTCCTCCCTCCCCTCTCTCTTTCTCTCTTATATTTGTACCATTAGTTGTTTTTTTCCTTTAAAATTATTTCAAGGATACAGCCTCCTCTCTTGCTTTTGCTACTAACATATTTTCTGACATCTTTCTCATGGTGCTTAGATTCTGTGTAAAATGATTAAATTAAATGTCGTTAATTTGATTGTCCCCAACAACACTTCCCCTTCGATGTTATCAAGCCCTGAAGCGACCTTTGGGTGAATCATAATATAAACTATGAATGTGATAATGAGTTATGTACTCCATTTAGTAATACTGTACAATATCGATACATCTGATGCATAACTTACAGTGTCTATCAAACCAGTGAGATCTCGATCACAGGGGGGGCAATGTACTATTTCCCTGCCAAATTCACAGGAATCTCACATTAATTTATTAAATTTTGGTGCCAAAAGCAAACTTTTTGGAAGGGCAGGTGCTCCACCCATGCCCCCTGTGCTCCCCCACCTCCGTGGGGGGGGGGGGGGACTCTGCCAGGATTTGAGTAGGGGTGTTCTGCTGGGATTCTGAAAGGGGTACCCTGTTTATGACAAAAAAACTCAAATTTGTAGACCCTGTTTATGACAAAAGATATAATTTATTGCACTGAGTTCCTGTTTCAATTATCATGTCATCTCGCGTATCGTTTTTTTAAGACCATAATAACCAGTTTCGGTCAATACAAAAGTAGAAACCCTGAATATGACAGGAAACTCAGGAAGAACTTGGAACTTGAAATTGAATACCCTGTTTATGACAAGAAGCTCGAAAAACCATACCCTGTTCAGCGGATCATCCCCGTATAGTCCATATATAGGAGTACCCCCCCGGGCCCTACCTATGCTAGTGTATCAAACTAACAAACCTTATCAACAGCATCCCTTGAGAACCTTAAGTTAAGACCTGTGATCCTCCTGTCAGTTGGCGGCCTTGATAAATTACTCAGGCTTTGTACTGAACTCCTTTAGAAATCAAACATTAAACACAGATAGACACATATTTTAAATAGATCTTATTAAACTCATTAATAATTCATGAGGAAAACACAACAGAAATCACGACCGTGAAGAGTTTTGTAAATCAGATACAGAATCCCGTCATTTGCATAAACTTTAAGAAGGATTTTCTTGGCCAGATTCACTTTTACCTTGAAAATTCTAGCGAAACACAAAGGAACTAACCTAGACATTTGATAAGTAATCTACAGTATTCGTGTCCGTGTTGTATCCAATATACCGGATACAACACAGCCACTCATACTGTATATATATTATACATTTTTCATTAGTTAGGCTGCTATAATATATTATTATCTGTTATCTAATAATAATTTATCTTTAAAAAGTCTTCAATCTCAGGCCGAATATTCTATACTTGCAAACATGATCTGTGCTTGAATTACAAGTTTATAAAGTAAACAAAATATGGGTTGCTAAGTAACCAGGTTGTACTTACACACGTGGAGAGGATGGTGGTGAAGGAAGCTTTAGTGGTTTACCCCGATACTGAGGAGGTGTTGTAGATAAGCCAGGATTAGAAGGGTCAGATGGGGTTCTTGTATAACCAATACCTGGTCTTGGTGGTAATGAATGTGAATGCTTATGCACATTGCCAGTTGGAGGAGTCAAGGTCTGATATAACTGGGTATTAGGAAACCATGGTGATCCTGGTGGGCTGTTTAGAGGACTTGGACCTGTTAAGATTGAAATGTGAAATCAACAAATTTTCTCTGCAGTCCAAGCTTATACTTACTTAATTACTCAACCTTTACCAGATTAAACTAGCTCTTTATACAATCATGTAGTTATTCTGGGAAATGTGCATGTATTACCTTTAATTCATATTGACTTATATATTTATATTTTATTTCTAATTATTCTTTCTTGATATGTTGTCAAGAAAAAACTACCCGCAGGCAGATCAAAGCTGGTGTACAGATAGCTAACTGACTGAACTGTAATTTAACATGTTGGGCTTTGCAATACAAGGAGAGCCCATACAATAACCTTGAATAAAGAGGGAGAAAAACACCAAACTCTACTGACATGTAAAGCCCTGCAAAGTTACTAGACATCATCTTATTACATTATAGTGGTAAAGCTTTCATGTCATTTTGAATACATACTCTCTGAAGAAATTATGTTGAGGGCTCTTTCTTGACATTGTTGAATCAGCTTAAAAAGCTTGGCTACATCTTTATTGTAGACAGTCCGCAGGTCTAAGAGAATAATAAATAATTGGGATAACATGTTCAATATTAGACAGTTTGCATTAATAAGTTACATAACATTATTATTACTTTAAAACTCTCTGTGCTAATAGTATATATAAGGCTGTCAGGTCCTGTAACTTTAGGGTGTGGAAAAGGGGGCAACAAAATTATGATTTGCAAGCTGCAGAGTGAATGTTGTTCATAGTACCTCTCAATTACATGCAAAAAATTTGCTTTGTTGAAAATAGTAGATAGAACTTCTATTTTGTTTAAAAAAGAGAGAAAACTTATTCCATGAGTGGGTGGTACAGTAGTAATCACCGTGTAACTTGCTATGCAGCATAAGGCTGTCAGGTCACCCAAGCCCTCAAAAGGAAACCACTTCAGAAATATAGAGTGCCTTGATATTGATGAAGTTTCAGCTTACATATATATAGAAAATATTAAGAGAATTTACATTCATATTCATTTTGTAAATTATATAAGCTAGGCTGCTGCTTAGTCCTTTTTGTTCCTTTATCGCTGTCTTCCACCTCACTCTCTTCTCTGCTGTTTCGTTTGCCTTTTCCCATGTGATGTTTTTCACATAAGAAACATCGTTAAGACACATAATAAACTATTAATCTTTATTCTATAAAAAATATAAAGTTTTTGAAGATTGATGACTAAGGACAAATTTTAGAAGCAAATTTTGAACTACAATGATTAACAGCTATCTCTGTGCCACAGGGATCCCAAACCCAAGAAACCCTAATTCACTTATACCTAGGGTGGTAAGTCTGTGAAACAATACATGGCAAATGAATGAGAAGTCCATTGTTTTTATACTACTTCTTGCTTTTTCATTTGCTATATTTTTTTGTAGCAAAATTATTTAGAAAATATGCATCATTACCTTTGTCCCAGGCATTGTCTTTAAGGATCTGAGAAATGTAAATACAACAGCTGAGGTACTGGCAGTATGCCTCCTGAGAAACAAGTTATTCAATCAAATATGAGTTATGAGTATTATTGTAGTTGGCAGAATATTAAGGTTATCTCCGGCCAGAGTAATATAATTTAATGTACGACATTATAATAGTGGAGATCGGTTTCCAGGTATTTAAATTGTTCATATTAAAGGTGTTATTTGAAGCATTAACTAAACATTTAGGACTTATTTAGATCTAGATAACTGAGAAGAAACAGGCAGGTTCAGTTCCACCATAGTTATCATAGAGACTATAATATTAATTATGGTTTTTGCGATTGAAGTAACCGTCTAGTTTGAAACTCTTATCAACCAATTCCAAAACAGACAACTTTTAAAAAAACATCAAGGACAAAAAAGGGTTTACTAACATATGTTTTCAGCTGTTTCATTAACTTTTTTAAAAGCTGTAACAACTTAGAGTGTACGTACTGCAAGCTGATAGTTTACCTTACTCCGATTTTGCGAATCAAGTCCTATTGCGTCCCCAACCATTCTTAGTACTATCGACATGCTTGCTGAAACCCCCTCCGCCATCTTTGCCTCAATTAATTCACCGCAAAGTCATGAGTAGTGCGAAAACGAAAGAAACGGTCAAATAAAGTCAACTTCCTTTTCAACATTCTTCTTCTTCTTCCCGTCCGCCATGTTTACTAAGCGCCCGTAAAGCCACAAGGGACAACATAAGTTTTTTCTATCGGTAAATCTGATTGGACAATTTTCAAATACACCAATCAAAAGACTCGTTAGAAATAATGATTATTTGGAAAATCCTATTTCTATTGATGATTTTGATTGGACAATGTTCAATCCACCAATCACGGCGTTTTTTAGATTGAAAAGGTTGCCCGGATGTTTTACCACGCGCGGACATCCAAGATGGCGGAGATCGGAGATGAATTTATGATTGGTGGCAGGAAATTAGCGCAGCTAAAAAACGATGAACTCAAGCAGGAACTGGAAAAAAGAGGCCTGAAGAAGAGTGGGAATAAGGCAGTTCTCGTTGAGAGACTTAGCGAGGTATGTACGATTCTGTAAACTGTTCAAAAGTTAGACGTTTTGGTACCGGTTGTGATGAGATAGTAAGCGTATAAACTTCTGCGTAAACAATAAAACGCGTGAACGAACTTCTTTCGTTCGTTTATGTGCTTTCACTTCCTTGTCGAGCACCTGCCGAAAATGAATTCTAAAAGAGTTCAGATGCTGTGAGAAGCTTCGTATACAGCGAAAACAACCGGGAAATGCGGCTTTTGATTTACTCTTTACCATGCTTTTAACGTAATATTTGACATGTGATTTTACTTATCACCAGTGGGTTATGCCGGTTGTATCTTCTCTATTCGTTCTCGTCTTCCCTTGTGCCTCCATATTGAACGCTTCAGCAGGAAGCCTTTTAAGCATTCATGAGGTTTTTTGAAAAAAGTTTGAGTTTTATATTTCGCCTCCCATCTTCATCACTTGAGCTACCAACAGGTCTTTTAGCCAAACAAATGAGCTGAACTATTCATTTATCTCTTATAACCCTGAAGTGAGATCAGATGATGAGCCTGATGGATTTAATTTATCGAATAATTATAAAATACCCCACAAAAAAAGCAAGGGAAAAATCAAAAAAGCTATACCTTAAAATGAAATGGATTACTTGTGCCCTACGTTTCAATAAAAGGAGTGCCTAACATTTCATTGGGCAACCCTGATAAAATACTGGCCACACATAGCTATATTCACTGGATACATAGACATGACCATGTCCTTTGATTTAGATATATCCCAACACAAAGATAGAAATAGAAGAACAGAAATATGCATTCAGGCACAGTTAAATCATGCAGTAACCAAAATCACTCAGACTTCATTTCGTGTACTTCGCAGCACTTACCTGTAGTATGAAATACCTAGTTGTTAGTAATGTATTATACTAATATATAATATAAAAATTTTGTTTTTGGGAGTTTTACTCTGAAAACAAAAAAAAAGTGTCAAACAAAGCCTAGCAGCCCCTGTCATGGGCAAGGCCCTAATGTCAATAGCCTGTGTATGCACACGCTCCCCCCACTGGGGCAAAACATTGATAGGTGGATTAGTAAAAGTACCATATTTACTATCAGTATTGTCTTTTCCAGTATCTCTTTAAGGAGCTCTATGAAAAACCCCAACAACATCCTGTTCCACAAACTTCAGTTCAACAAACAATTCAACAGCAGCACACTGCATTCCAAGAACAACCTTTGACAGTGCAGCAGACTATCCAATCCCAAACCATACAGCAACAGTCACCATCCTATCAAAATCAACCATTCCAGCAATTTCCTGGTCAACATCAAGGTGTACCATATCAGCAACTAGGACAGCCACAAGGAGCCCAAATACTCTCACCACAAAGGACCCAACAACCGGTGGCATTCTTCCAGCAGTCTCCACAACGAGAACAACAACAGGGCTTTCAGTCACCACCACATAAAGAGCCTGCATTTCTCCCACACTCACCACAAAACCAACCAGTATTTCACCCACAAGTACCTAGTCAAACTTCTGCTTTACATCATTCAAACATTAACCAACAACAACAGATGCAACATCAGCAAAATGTGCTTCAAGATCAATTTTATCACCAAGTAAATCAACAACCTCCGCAGCAACGACACTTTCAACAAGGACAGCAAGATCCAATATTGCAGTTTATGGAACAATATCAACACCAACAGCAGCAGCCACGGCAGGTCCAACAACGAGTGTTTGATCCCCAGCAACTGAATCAGAACATGGTGCAACAGCAGGGTGTACCACCACAGGTAGCCCAGGAGATGACAAAGCAGGAAGCTGTACCTCCATTTGAGGCCCAAGGGCTACAACAGGTTAGTAAATATGTGTGTTTTGTGAAAAAGTTGATCAAAATATACTATTAATACTTTTTCTATTAATATTGTTCCAGGAATCAGCCATGCCAGAAGGCACAGAGTCCAATTCTTTTAGGGAGCAATCTCCAGGTGGAGAATCTTCTTCATCTTCAACCATTATTGAGGAAGATGAACAAAGTTTCCCGCCTCAACCACCCAAACAGGAGCAGGCACCAATGGAAGAAGAGCCAGATAATTCAGAAAGTACTAGCTCCAGTCAGCCATCACCAGCTGAAGTAGAAAAGAGTGAGGAACCCTCACCTGCCCTTCAATATACCAAGGAGGATGAATCATCATCTGGGGGTACATCACCAGCTGAGGTAGAGAAGAGTGAGGAACCCTCACCTGCCCTTCATGATACCAAGGAAGATGAATCATCATCTGGGGGGACATCACCTACTGATAGGAGTCAGGAACCATCCCCTGCACCAGAACTAAGTGCTTTAAACCAAGAGGCCCAGGAAGAACAACAAGAAACAGTTGAGGTTAAAGAAAATTTGGACAAGGAGAAGTCAGAGGCCAATAGTGATGCTGAAAATATGGAACAAAGTCCTAAGGAAGATGACAAACCTGAGGAAATAGGTGGAAAAAGATTGACAAAAGTTGAAGAAATGGTTGATGAAAATTCGAAGGAAGCTGGCCAAGCTGAAGGAAAGGATGGTCAAAGTTTGAGAGAATCAAGTCAGGCTGATTCAGAAGAGAAAACTGATCAAAGTCCATCTGGATCAGGAGGTTTAGAAGAAGGTGAGGTGGATGCTAGCAGCAATGAAGACAGTAAGGAAATCCAAGAAGAATCTGTGGTATCAAGTAGTGAGCCTGGATTTGTTATTGAACCAACTGAGGAAGAGAAAGCTGTTGCTGAAGAACCAAAGCCAGTGGAAAAAGTAAGTATTTGGATAAACATAAACTGAGATTTATTTCAGTAGAACTTGGCACTAGTGTTAACTGGTCAAATGCTAGGCAAGTTACATTTTGGGATGCTAATGAAATTGACTAATTTGATAGTCATGTTGTACAGAAATTTAATTGAATTTTCCAAAGTGACTTCCTTGTCTTTTCAACAATTTTTTTCTGTAAAGCATTGAAAAGGTTTACGGTCATGACGCCCCCTTGCCATGACGCCCCCAGCCATGACGCCCCCACATATACCATGACGCCCCCAGTCTGTACTACCATGACGCCCCCAGCGTAAACCATGACGCCGCTAGTCTCTATTAACACTTATTTAATAAGAAGTTTAACAATAATAATATGGCGCTACGAACCCATGGTCATTACGGTTTTAAAAAACTCGTTTCTACGCTTCGCGTATCCACGAGTTAAAAACGATACCTACAAGCTGGCGAACACTAAATCTCTGTAGTTAAGCAATGTACTTCTTGAATTTTGTCATTAATAATTAGTTCCAGAACATGATATAGCTGAATTAGGAGTTAAAGAACATCATTCAGATGCATTAGGAATCCAACCATAATTCTAAGACATGTTCATCGATCAAAACTTTTATTTYGTACGATCAAGTCACGCTGTTGTTACGAAGCACTCTCAACATGGCCCGTGATCAACATTTCGGAATGCCTTTTATCGGCACAAGAAACCTATAAAAAATTCTTCATATTTAAAGAACATCATTTCGGTGCATTTGGAGTTCTTGAACATCATTTCACAAAGAACATTAAAACTTTTTTGTAAGGATTGTTTTTGAGACGCGCACCTTTGCGTTTAAAACTCTTTGGTTATTTACCCCGGGTTATTTACACAAATGGATAAATATCTCTATTTCGATAGCTTTTTCAAGTGATTTCAGCAATCGCCGGGAAAGACAAAATATTTCTTCAAGGCATCTGTTTATAGAATAGGTTTTGAAATTACGAACGGAAAGTTGAATAAACTCAACCTCGGAAGTAAATTAGACAGCGAGTCGAGGAATCGAAAGTGACACCTCGCTGTATTCCCGGGTGTATTACAAACGCGATGCTTCATGTCAATGTTTGCATTTAGATTACAGTAATATAATAGTTAACTATGATAATACGGTATGCTGATTTGTTTTCCATCTTGTAGCTCAAGAATCTCATTTTAATATGAACTCTGAAATTCATCTGTGATGATTGTTTTTGAGACACGGTTTGTGCTTCGCGTCACGAAGCGAAGACTTCAAACGCGGAGGAGTTGTGTGACAACAACAGTGTAACGACTTGAATATGGCAAACTACCGATTTATGTGAGCAATCTTTGCTTGCTTTCCGAAATATTTATTAAAACCACACATGTTTCTTCTCCAAGAAAGTTTATATGAATAAGGAGGCTATTAAAGTAGAAGAAACGTCACGAATGAGTCAAAACCTTTAGACGCGAACGAGTTGCTGTGACGACATACCCGTAAAGTGAAAACGGCAAACTACCCGATTTTCGTAAAAGAAATCTTTACTGATTTACCACAATATTTAGCAAAAACACACGTTTCAAAATTACGAATAAGTCAAAAACTTCCTACGCCAAAGAACTATTAGGTTACAAGTCTGCGAACTACAACGTACTGCTAAAAACAACTCGTTCGTTCGAAAACAACTCGTTCCTTCGTGCTTTTATAGTTAATGGTCGTGTCAAAGGTTTTGATTCTTTCGCAATGTTTTTCTAATTTTATTCACCAGCACTCCCTTTTTTTTGTGGTATATTTTCAGTGTCAAACTTTTTGGAGAAAGGTTTCAGAACTTATGCTTATATGCGAAACAATATTAGGAAAGATCACTAGCATTCTTACGGCAACTACATACGGCGTACTAACTTGAACTACGAATAATTTATCGGACTTACGAAATTTTGTTGTCAACTATTTTCCTTTTCGTTATTTTTTTGTCGTTCATGGATTTATACTGTGAAATATTGTTAAACTTCTTATTAAATAAGTGTTAATAGAGACTAGGGGCGTCATGGTTTACGCTGGGGGCGTCATGGTAGTACAGACTGGGGGCGTCATGGCTGGGGGCGTCATGGCAAGGGGGCGTCATGACGGGTTACCATTGAAAACATTCTAAAACCTATTAGTTTGCTAGCTGTACTGTGAGTCTATCGAGGGAGGGAATTAGTCAAGCCTTGTTTAAATTCTACAAGATTTCTCTATTAATTGCAATGCCAGTTGCAAAAAAGTTGACCCAATAATCTGTACCTTCCAACAGTAGGGTCTTTTGGAGTTAGGGAAAGTGTTTCATCTTCAGAACTGTTATTTATTTTGTGGATATGTCACAAGACTGATACAACTAAAATTTTGTAGTTATATTTATCACCCACATTCTCTTAATCTTCAGAAGCCAAGGACTCCTATCATTACAAAGAAAAGAAGGATTTCCATTCCTTGTGAGTATAGAAAATATTTAATATCAATGTCAGATGAGTATAAACTGATCAAAAAAACTCCATTCAATCCAGCCTGTTTCATCCTTTTTTTCATTTTGCCTGCCCTCATGCGTCTTCATAGTTTAATGTTATTTTTACTATTCACCTTATAAACTGTTATTTTTTGTGGGACACTCTCAACTGTCAATGGTTATTTAACTGAGAAAGGAGCATTTAGCAGAATCTTATCATAGAGATCGTAATATGATATCCTAATTAAAAACACATTTAAAATAAATTAAATAGCTTCAGGATCCCAACCAGGCACTCCACCAGCTGAAGGCACAAGGAAAAGAAGATGGGGCTCAGCCTCCAAGACTTCAAAACCAATCAGTACAGAATCACTTAAAGTAAGAATTGCATGACTTTATTAAGATATAGTAAGAGTAAAATAATCTTATCTAATAGAGAAATGCAATAACAGGTGCTGTATTCAAGGAGGATGAAACTGTCTTTCATGCTTAGTGATCAACAGCGGGCTCCTGTTTTAAATTCCTTGATTTGCTACTGACTGGTATATTCATAGTACAGAATGTTGACAACATCAATGCACTACCTTCATTCTTTTTATGCTTTCTATTTGGGTAAGGGAGGAGAGGTACAGGAAAAAGCATTGATTGCACACAGGTACACCTGCTTATAAGTGTTGCAATTCTGTGCTTTTAGGATCTCATCCCTGGTGTACAAGTTCATTCCACTCCTGCTCTGGAAGCTGTGATGGACTTTGGTAATGAGGACCAGGATGATGGCGATGAGAGAGAGGCAGGTGAGGTGGTTGATGACGATGATGATGAAATGAACAAGGAGAACAGGGAAAAGGACAGTGATGAACAGGAGACAGAAAAAATAGAACCAGAACCAAAGAAAAGAAAAGAACGTATTGTAAAGGTAGAAGAAGGGAGAAAAAAGATCAAAATCAATCGACAAAGTCTTGATCCGGAGGCAAACAAAAAGGAGGTCGAAGGAGGTATGTATAAGGTGCTTCATGTACCTTTAATAACACTCAGTGCTTTCATTAACTTTTTAATTAAAGGCTCAGAAAATAAAAAGATTTACACTATGCAAGGATATCATGCAAGGTCTTTTTTTAGCCAGTGCCAGAAGAGATTCATTATCTATAATGGAAGCACTGAAAAGCCATGCACTCTATGTTAACCTTTATCCCATTCTAAAATAAGATTTTGATTCATTTTCCAATTCAAGTGCATTGCTAGAATGATTGTAATTACTTCACATAATATACGAAGAAAAGTTGCTTTCAAAACCATTTTAATTGGAAGAACAAGTGACCACTTGTTGTATTAAGATTACTGTCATTCAAGCAATTTGCACATGAAATCAATTTTTGTTGTTTATCTGAATACTCTACCTGCAGTAATGGCACATCTTAGTCCCACTTTTGGCCATACCTGCATTGTTCAGGATGTTTGGGTGTCTATGCTGTTTGCGCTTCATGCACGTCATGTTCCTGACAAATCTGTGTTTGGACTTTGCTCTGGTTAAGGACTGTGGCATACACATGTTCCGTAAAAACAGTATGCACTTATAGGAAAGAACATTCACTGCGAAAAATAAGTCCTTGTATGTCTGTCTATCAAAACATCATAAGATTGAAAAAGCCAAGTTTTTTCAGACTGCCATCACATCAAAAGGCTTTGTCTCGTACTTTATTCCAAATCAAGGACAGGCATATTAATTTTGATATCTACTGCTGCATTTAAAAGTAAACATTCAGAAGAACTTTATTGACCATCAAGCAAGCAGTGGCCTGTGGATTCTATAAAGAATTACTACCAATTCATTATTCAATTAGTCAATTACCCATTATGCAGAGCAATGCTTTCAAGTGCTACTAATAAAGTGCTACTATGCTGAATATCAGCTTATCAGAACAACATACAACAAATATTATGCAATATTTATCAACTTGCAAGTCTACTATCACCAAAACTGGACTGCAAAAGCAAGGGTTCTCGTGTGTACGGCATGATGGGGTATGCATAAAAAGATAAAAAGATTAGCAAATTGGAGGCTTTGGATTTTTAACATTGTCATGAAAAAGGAACTTTGCTGTTTCAAGGAAGATAAAGTCCAAACATGAATCCATCTGACCATAAACGAGTGAAGTGACCCTTTCATCAAGATAATAATTGAAAGACAGCTTTCTGACATCTATTGAGAATGTGATTGATCTGATGGAGTAGAAGGGGACTTTACTATCATTTCAATATTGTGTCTACTCACTCAATCAAGAAAAATGTCAAGGAATTGTATCACAACGGTCATATCCTACTGGCAACATGGACAAAAGCATTTCTTTCAAGACTATTGTACTACCCCTATTAACAGATGTGGATCAAAAACTGTGTTAAAAGTTTTATTGCTTAACAACATGGATGCAAACATTTTGTCTGTATGTATCAATCAAAGAGACCTACAATAGCAATGCATATTATTTGTCTTTACCACTTTACCAAGACATTTATGCTTTCCAATATCAGCTACATGTATCATCATACCAAGAAGTGATATTGTCAATGTGAAGTTAAGAACATTTCAGAATTCAAAATAACTGAAATGAAGAAAATGAGCCCAAATGCACAGGAAACAAAAGTCAGAAAGTAACATCAAGTGCTGGATATACTGTTATATGATGTCTACTTGAAAGAATATCCATTGAACTGTAGCTGAAAGAAATTGAAGCCAGTGCATTCTATTCAAAAAAAGCACGGTTTTCACTGTGATAATGAACTAGAGGAGATCTAGATGAAGTCTATAGATTTGTTACCAAGAAGTTTATCAGGATTGTTGTCGGACCATGCTTGCTTGCATGCTATTCTAAGGGGGTTGGTTTTCATCACAAGCGCGATCAAGGTCTTATGATGCCTAAGACACTGTCACTCAACAAAGGGTAAAACAGTGGGTAATCTATGGTTACACTACCAGTCCAGTCGTAATGCAGGTTATTACATCTTGGCAACAATATTTTGAGAATATAACTGTTTTATGGAAATGTGGTTAATTGTTTTGTATCACTGCTAATTAAATGTAAGGTTTTATAATCCAATTTATTGGGCGAAGGGAAAAAACTTCAAAAAAACCATCACACCCCAAATGGTATCTGTGAGGTTTGCTTCACACACACACTACCAAATTAGATTCTATATTATTACAACACACAACACTCAACACTCAAAGGTGGTCGAGAGCTCCATGACCCATTTTTTCCATTTCTTTCAATAATAATAAAATCTAAAAGGCAAGCTTTTCTAAAGCCCACTTAGATTAGGAGATAGTTAAATTTTATGAAATCAAGTAAAGAGATTAAAGAGATTGCTAATACTGTATTCATAATCCTTGTTTGAAAATTCTTTGCCACATTTCTAACAAAGTGGTTATATAAACATATTTTTTATAAAGATCAATTCCTGTTCTAAAAACTCTTCATCATTGGATTACTGCATTACTGGATGGTAGTAATATTGTAATGATAAGAATATATAATGCTAGTGATGCTTATCTATTATTGTTTCCATTTTCTAATGCTCTTTTATTTTATGCAGCTCAACCTTCATTGTCCAACACAGATCATAAGTTTCCAGCTATTCCTATATTAAGTCAGTCACCCCTACCGGCAGAGCACTCACCCTCCCCTGCTAGAAACGCAGAGAGTGTGAACGTCCATGTGAAGAACCTGGTTAGGCCGTTTACTGAGAGACAGCTTAAGGAACTACTTGGAAAAACAGGAACACTGAAGGAAGGTGGATTCTGGATTGACAAGATCAAATCACATTGCTATGCAATTGTAAGGCTAAATCAATTTATCCATCCATGCATTTTATTTTTCCATCTATTTCTCAACTATTTGTCCATTTAAAAAAAATTTTTTTTCTTTCTTTCTTACATTTCTTCTGACTTATTCATTTATCATAGTACACAGACGTAGAAGGTGCAGTAGCCACAAGAGCAGCCTTACATGGTGTCAAGTGGCCACAGACAAGTCCCAAAATACTTAGTGTTGAATTTGAAGATGATGAGCAGGTAATAAAACACCTTCCCTTGGCTAACGGTTCTTATCAATTCCCACTTCCTTCCACTGAGCACAGGATGCAGAAGCTAATTTGTTTACTCAATAGACCCCTTGCATGTGATCAAAGTAGCTCAATTTGAAGGACAAAACAAAAAATCTCAATCTCCTGAGCACTGGAAACCTATTGTTATGTCCTCTGAATTGAGCTGCATTCTGACGTGCTGCAAGGGGTCTATTCCTTGCTTCTCAAGTTTAAGAAAAAAGAAACAAATTATCTTTGGGATAATGTTTACCCATTTCAGACCACGTGTCATTTCCTTGAGAATAAGATGCTTCGTTTGAGTTGTATCAAGGTCATGTGTCTTCTCATGTGCAAACGTTAAAGGAATGATATTCTTGGGAATGACACGTGGTCCAAAATGGGAAGACTTTATGCCAAAGCTAATTTGATTTATTGCTTTTGCTGACTTTTTCTAGATGGCTACTGATACTAATGGAGTTCTGGGAAAGAAAAGAAAGGAAGTTGAACAGCCTGTAAAAGAAGATACCAAAGTAGAGAAGGAACCAGTAAAAGAGGAAGAAGGTGAGATATCTTACATTAGCACAACATTACAATATATAGACTTCTTGGCTCAGGTGCATTTAGGCATAACGTTTTCCTATCGCAGACCATGTGTCATTCCCTAGAGAATCATTTGTTGGTTTAACGGTTGCACTTCGTTGCACAAAAGAAGACTCATGAATATGGATACAACTCAAGCAAATAATCTTGTTCTCAAGGGGGTGACACATGGTCTGAAATGGGAAAACATTACACCCGAGCTGAGGAGGTCTATTGCACCAGGCGGACAGACCACCTATTCACATAGGTGTGTGTTCTATGATTCATGGGTTTTCTTCAAGTTCTCTAGTTTTCTCCCTCTACAAAACCCAACATTCTAGGTTATAACTCTATCTGTGAGTTAGTCTTGCTCTGACCAAGATCCGCCCATAAGTTTTTTCAGGGTTTGATGCATAAAATTGGTTGTGGTGCTTTTTTGCTTTGTGTGCTGGTTCTTACAACATTGCATGTAGCAAAGTAATTTCATGTGATCTTGTTTATCTCATTGCTGGCAATACCATGATGTTCATATACAAAAAAAAAGTTTTTTCAGTCGTCTCTTGGTTTCAAATGATGACTGCGTCTGAGTTTCTACTTAATTGTTTTCTCAGTAGAAGAAAAGCCAGTTGAAGAAGACAACAGCCCTGCCGATTTATTAGATAACCTCTTCCGAAAAACGAAGACGACTCCTTGTCTTTACTGGTTACCCCTGACGACAGAACAGGTAAGGCCAGACCTTAATTTTGCTCAACGCAAATGTTTTTGAACCATTTTCCAAGTGGCAAGGGCGCACTAACAGGTCACACAGGCTACTACTGTCATTGACTTTTACTGAGATGAGGAACTCCATGGCGTACGTCTGGCAAAAAAAAAAAAAAAAGAAAAAAAAAACAAAAAAAAAAAAAAAAAAAAAAAGAAAAGAAAAAAAAAGAAAGGAAAAAAAATCCCATTATTTCCTTGTTGCTAGCACCAGAATTTTGCATGCATAAACGAGAAAACCAGCCAAAAAAAGCGCGAATCATGCAATCATCAAAAAAGGCTAACATTTTAATAACTTCTACCCTAGGCTCCAGAGCAAGGTTTTAATTCGCTTCGGGGTGGACAAACACCGAGGCGAGAATAGATAACCTCTGTACATAACCTTTGATTTTTTTAATATGAAATTTCAGATTTTGAAACGCGACTACGAAAGAGAAGAGAAACGAAAGCGAAGGGAAGAAGAGAGGAAAAAAGATGACGAAGATAGAGAAAAAAGACAAAAAGAACGGGAAGAGCAGAGGGAGCGTGAACGTGAAAGAGAACGGGGACAACAAACGAGAAATCGTGTTCGTGATCGTTCCCCAGATCGAGACAGGTCACGTGAAAACCGCGGAGGACGAATGAGGTCCAAATCTCCCGACAGACGTAGATTCTCTCGAAGTCGTAGTCGAAGTAACCGACGAAGATGAAAGCTTTTATTACGTTTTGTTCATTTTTAATGTCTAATACTTTCCACCCTTTTCTCTGCTACGCGGTAATCGAGCAATTGTTGTCTCGATCAGAGCGTAACAAGCAAAACAGTGGTAACATATGAGGCATAATCAGTTCTCTGAAAATGACACAAACCACTCACTACTTTAACGAATGTACATGCATACTCAATCTATGTTATATTACTAGTATGCGCCTTGTATATTACTAGTATCCTTTAGATATATTGTTTTACATGGGTGGGGTGTATGTTCTACTTAAAACTCATAACATTTTCTGTACTACCCTCGTGAAAAAGTGCGACGCTGAGATAACAGCTATTCTGATACACAGAAGAACTGTTTTTAAGTTGTTAAATTTAGATGCCTTTCTAAGAAGAGATTAGGGAGAACAAATATGAAAGGAGTGGGTTTTCTTTTATTCAGTTTTCTCTCTCTCTCAATTTTCCTATCCCACCGCAAACCTTGCTCCACTGTGTTCACTTTACCAACACACGGGGAACATTAGCTATAAACTATTTTATTACCGTGTATAAATGCAGCACGATAATGTGACAAACCTCCCTCCATGATTTCTTTATTTATCCTTGTACTGCGAGATCCTTAATTCTTAGGAACCAGCTCAATTATAATTTAGTGTATAAACCATCTGGAAAAAAAGGGTCCCTTATTTTTACATAAATCAAACTTTAATTTTATAGTACTGATAAGTTTGCTCCGTTACTAATGTTACCATGAGAAGATTAAACGTGTGTTTTCAAAATGGTCGGTGCATTAAAGGGGCATTAAAGTCTAGCATCGCAAATTATTAATAAAACCACTTTGCCAATAAAACTTATGTTGCTGGGTAACTTGATTTTCTTTGTATTAGATTATGCTTCAACCATTAAGTGATATAATTATTATCCCAAGATAGCAGGCTTGGGCACCGATGATTTCGGTAGTTTCTGGCTAACATACGAAAAAAGATATGATATTCCAATATAAAAAGAAAGCTACTTTGTTCGACTGAAGAAAGGGCGGTTAAGGTTTTGTATGTTGCATTTCAAGCCCGACTTGCACATTGGGCGATATGCCAGCGAAAGGTCACAATGATAAAATTTTACCCAACTTTCTCTGGATGTTTACCGTTATATTTTCTTCTATGCTGACCTATAAATGTACAATGAAGTCATTAATGAAACCCCTGAAATAAATGCTAGACTAAGACGCATTTATAGTAGACACTTATTGAGTGCATACCATATATATCCATGAAAAACTTTGTAAGAGTTGAACAACACTTTGCACTAATTTGTGCGATTTTGTCAGCTAACATTTTCGCGTATTTATAGTATGCAATCTTACATTGTCTTCTTTTGTGTCTATTTGACTATTACACGTTTACCAGTATTTTTATTTCAGGGGTCAGATGCCTTCACTCAATACATTTCAAGCTTACCAATCAACAAGCAAGATGCGACATGTAAACAACTTTTTTTTTTGAAATAGTTGTATTTGACACCTTGGAATCATGTAAAAACAGTACCAATAAGAGGTTCGTGTCGTTTGTAGTTTTGATCACTACATTTAGAGTCTAATCCTAACACCACGACCTCGAATGTTTATCAGCTAATCATTTTCCCGCCATCCTAAAGTATTTCCTGGGAAAACTAATTATACCATATTTGGTGTCAAGTTCATGAATAAACATAGACTAGTAGTGTACGTTGGTTCGTGTGACGTACTGTCTCCCAAACAGGCCGACATTTTAAAGTTTATACTCTGGAAAATGGCATCAGCTTTGAAAACCAAAGAAAGAAGGTAAGAATTAAATCAGATTCTAAGAATAATGGAATTTTATTGTTATATATAATCTTTGCGTTTATTATTTCAACCTAAATAATCAAAGCATAAGAGGTCATGCATAATGTAGTAATTTACTACACTACAGGTCGATCGAATATCACCATCTTTGGACTGGAAATTCACTTTTTAAGACAAGAACTTTGATATAAGTAGAATTAAAATTGAAATATTAAGCGACATTTATCGTCTTGGTTAAATTAGCGTGTTTAGAGAAAACAAAATGAACGCTATGCCTTGAAGGTTATAGCACGCGTGATATACATGTAAACGTAAATGCTAAATGATTGTTGGTCTAGTGGTCTTTTCATAATCCCAGCTTTGTAAATCCAGACTAAACAGTCTTTTGCTTGTTTATTTTACTTTCTACTTTCTTTTAACGCATCTACTTTCTAAATAAATTTGGTATCGTAAAAATTCAGTTTCTCTTTCAGTTTATTCGAATTCGTGATATTTACTATCTATTTTGTTCGCTGCGTTTATACCTCTGCGTGTGTTCATTTTAGTGCATCGATTAACATTAGCCACGTTGTAAGGGTCTGACTCTGGACCTGGTTCATACTCTGCTCCATTATTTTGACTTCAGATGTTTATGTAGTTCTATTATATGTAATAAAGGGACTGCTTTACCCTCTATTGGCTATGCTTGCATGTTGGTATTTTGATATGTTCCACCTCACACCTTCGGCCTGCCCATCTATTAGCATAATGCTTTGATTTATATAATAAGTATCCGTCTGTCTGTTTTGCAAATAATATACATAATGTACATATAACATGATATGCAGTTAGATCTTTCGTTTAAGAATTATTTACTTTTCCTGCAATTGATTGATAAAACAGATATATTTATTAATTCAGTGTTTGACTAAACGACTAATTTAAGGTCATGGCATTCAAACTCCATTTCTAATTTATGCATTTATTAGCTTCATCTTAAAACCCAATTATTTTTTCCAGAAGATAAATTCCCACAATTAAAGAATCTTAATTGATTGACTGGCCTTAAATCATTGAAACATTTCTATTTGTAAAAATCCTTAGGTTTGAATATAGTCATAGTTATGATGAAATTGAAGAGGTGTGCAAGACTATAGCAAATCAAACGAAATACAAGCCAACCATTGGTGTGATTTGTGGATCTGGATTATCTGCTCTTGGTGATTTGGTCCAAGAGAAGGATGTCATTCCTTATGATAAAATCCCCCTTTTCCCTAAAAGTACAGGTATTATATACACCTACTTGCAAGAACGTTGTCATATGATATTAGAACATTAGTAATTTAGTGAGAAAGGAATACATTAAAAGACAAAAGAAAAAGTTCAGCTTCAGTGATCTTCTTTTGTTTTTTAATATAATTCCTATCCCACTAAATCACTAATGTTCTATTTTCGTATGACAACGTTCTTGCAAGTCTAGGTGTAAATATAATTTCCTAAATGTAGCACTATCCAAGCAACTAGAGAAGTTAATAAATATATATTTTCAAGTATTTGTAGTTCAATTATCAAGACACCCTTGCTAAGTATAAGTTATGCTATTTGTGGGTACGTGTCTGCTAGCAGATTATCCTATAGCTAAAAAATAGAAGGACTCTGCTAGCAACGATGCACCTTTGTTGTCAAGGGCAGATCCAGCCAAAATTTTGGGGGGGCTAATTGAGTTTAGGGGGGGGCTAATTGAGTTTCTTCCGTCAACACAATGGAAAACAATATAAAAAAGCATCGTTTTTTTCTGCTGAAGGGGGGGGCTTCAGCCCCCTTTTGCCCCCCTGGATCCGCCCTTGGTTGTATGTTATGTAATCAAATTTGAACATGAAGCTGTCCATATATATGTCCAACACAAATTGACCATAAGTATACCTCTGTGTTCCTTGATTACACAATCTATCTTTTGATTAGGATTATAACCACATAATTCCGGGGGGGTTACTCCCCTATATTCGCTATACCGGTGCATGCCGCCAAACAGGGTATGGTTTTCAGCGATTCTACTCTGGAACAGGGTATATAAAATTGCGCTCGCTCTGGGACAGGGTATCTATTTTTGCGATACCGGAACAGGGTATGGTTTTCAACGATCTTACTCATGATTTTGGTTGATGTGTTTTTTACAGTACCTGGTCATGCTGGTCAGCTTGTATTTGGAAAGCTCAATGGGAAAATCGTAGTTATGATGCAGGGCCGCAGCCATCTGTATGAAGGGTACGAGCCTGGAGAGGTAAAAGATCTGGTAGTAGTCATACTCTGAAAGGATCATTTTGCTGCATGAATGAATGACATAAACCTTGATAATTTATCACTATAATTTTTTAGGGTGGACCAGGAAAGTATTTTTAAGGGGAAGGGCTTGGGTCGATGAATAGGTCTTGGGTGTTTTCCAATTTAGGGTCCAATTTAGGGTCTCTGATCACAATCATTGGTTGTAATAACATGTCTTCTATTATATTGTAATAGATAACATTGCCAGTGCGTGTCATGGCATTACTTGGCGTAAAGACACTTGTAGTAACTAATGCAGCAGGAGGCATATCAAAAGACTGGAATGTTGGTGATATCATGATCATTCAAGATCACATCAACTTAGCTGGTCTGACTGGACACAGTCCGCTCAGAGGATTCAATGATCCAAGGTATTATATACAGCTATTTCTAAAAGGTTGAAGGGGCGAATGGCGGTCATTCCAAGATCCAAGAATAGCTGGAATGACTTATTATCCTTGTCAATAACACAGAAGTTGTCATTTAGATATTTAGTGTTGTTGGTTGACGATTATCACGTAGATGATCACTGAGATTATTCGTGTTTAGATGTATGCCACCCCACAGCTTCTTTCAGTTATGCGTTAGTTATCACTATTTTTATCACCATTCCTTGTTTACCCATTCAACCTTTTTTGAAAAAGCTGTTTATATTTTGGAGACCATTGATAGAGAGTATTAGGTTAGTTCTTGAATGGGCCATTTAATTTACATTTCTTGTATCCATTTTCTAACTATAAACTACAGTATTATTTAATGACGATACCCACATGCATATAGATAGATAAATCATTGCTGGAACCACGGAGTAACCTAAAAAGTGGGGGGACTAAAATTGAGACTAGTAAGGGAAAAAGTGGGGGGCTGAAATTGGAAAATATAAGAGACTGGTAGGGGAAAAGGGAAAAAGTGTAGGGGGAAGGGGGCCATAGCCCTACCCCACCCCTACTTCAACTCATGTATTGATGTCAATCATCAGCGTTGGTTTTAAATTTCAACAGGTTGGGACCTAGGTTTCCAGCTCTTTCTGATGCATATGATAAAAAATTGCAAAAGCTTGCTAAGGCAACTGCAGAAGAGTTGGGATATCAATCATTTGTGAGGAAAGGGGTGTACTGTGCTCAGGTTGGCCCAGCCTTTGAAACTCCTGCTGAATGCAGATATATAAAAAGCGTAAGTAATAATGCACACTTTAGTAGTCTCTAATCAAGTATGCCATTATCAGAATGGCTGACAAGTGCATGAAAATGAGGTCACCTATACTAGTCAATATTATCTAGTTTATACTAGTCGGACTGAAATACTGAAGACGTGGGTTTGATTCCCACCAAGGGCATTTGATATTTTTCTCTTATTCTTTCTATACTACTCAATTGTTCAAAATATATATATAAGCACACGAAATGCTTTTATAGAAGAAAAGTATAAAAATTGACCTTTTGTTTTTTTCCTGAATTTGTGCTATCCACCCTTATTTTGAATATGCAGCCTTGCTTCGCCTTGCAAGATGACTGGATTGGTGACCTCTTTAATTCATGCGCTCATCAGCCATTATGAGAACTGTGCATAAGGCCCCACACATCCTCATACTGTCTTTCAATTTCAGATTGGAGCTGATGCAGTTGGTATGAGCACAGTACATGAAGTTGTTGTGGCAAGGCACTCTGGTATCAAAGTCTTGGGAATTTCCCTCATTACAAACATCGTTGTGTCAGACTATGACGATGAATCAGAAGGAGCCAATCACGCAGAAGTACTTGAAACTGGAAGACGACGAGCGTCAGATATGCAAAGATTGGTATCTACAATTTTGCACAAGATGGTTGAGTAAGGTGTCAGTTAATTATTAAAGATTATTAATAATGATAAATTAATAGCGCAGCGTGTGATGTCATAAAAACGTCAAGGCAAAATTTGGACAAACAAACTTACAAGTTTACTTTTTCAGCAGATAATTTTCACAGCCGATCGCAGTTGATCTTAGTTTACATGGGTTATTATTGTAACTTTTAAGTAAAAATAATAAAATCGGTTTGTATAATCCTCGTAGCGGTTAAACAGAATGCAATGTTTGTCCAAATCTTTAAGTTATTTTTTAGAATCAGTGCGCTGTGCTATTGATGCTGGGTTGAATTAATTAATTGACATTCTTTGGAATATGGGAAATTTTGTATTCATGCACTAATTATTACTAAATGATACTCAAGGGAATAATGAGTGGTCTGAATCATGAATAAGTATTACCAGTGTCGACGAGTGTTTAGATATTAAAAATCTAAATTATTTAGATTTTTAATATCTGTAGGGTATAAGCTACTAATCTAAATGCACCATAGATATAGACCGATCTCCATTTCCTGTGCACGTTGATACTGAGTAGTCTAATGTAATATGTCAGTGGTTGACATCACTTCCGAATATTGAAATTACATTTATTAATTATACAAAAGAGAATTTTTTTTTTAATAGTAGTCTTAGGTCTTATATATAGGTAATAATACAAAATTATACAATTACAATACTAAGGTCACTTTGTGAATTTTTAGGTACATTATGATTAGATACTTGATGTGTAAAAATCACAACAGTACTTTAGGAGAGCAACGAGTGCTTGAACTTTGAACCTTAATTTCTAAGTGACTAGTATAGCTTCTACCTAATAATTCCCAAATCCAGTCTTAGGCAAGACCAACTGATGATGATGCTTTAAAGAAAGAAATATATATTATAAATAATTTCCCCTCCATAAACAGATGCAAATATTTTAATTCCGGGGATTATGGCTAGGCATGATGAAGAAAATATTTTGAAAAATGTTCAAGATGTAATAGTTAGAGTACATACTAGCTAGGCTTAGGTACAAAATCAAAGCAACTTTCCCGAAAATAAGAACTCAAGTAGTCTTAGCACTAGCTAAAGGATACCTTAGAGTATAGCATACTGACTGTATGGTATATACTAGAGATCATGCAGTAAAACCATGAAATAAATACTGACAAATAGTAGTTATTTAGTGACTAATAGTTGATGTTACCCAACCAGAACATTCACTTTGCAAAAGACAAATACACAAGAGACTATTTCTGTCTTTTGTGTGAAGAATGTTCTGGTTGAGTGATAGCAGTCACTAAATACCTACTATTTGTCAGTATCAACTTTGTTTTTATTTCATGGTTTTACTGCATGCGCTCTATGACGACTGGGAGTCAAATTTCTCATTTTTAGAATTAAATCAATATTTCAAATTATGTAGTATTTTTGAATACATTTTCAATCTCCAATCTCCAAATCTTAGTATTTGGAATTTTTATGTACAATTGTACAATTTATAGTCCTCATCTTAATGGTTAAGTTATATATTAAGGTATATATTTATTTGTCTCTACTAAAATGAACCTCATACAACTAGGTTCCAGACATGTTTTGATCTCCATCAATCATCCTACCATAAACACAGGTGTGACTGAGAGACATACTGGTAGTTTGATTGAGTGAAGCCAAAATATCATCCATGATGTTACTCTTCAAATTTTAACATTTACTGTCAACGTTTTGTGCTAAATTTCATTCAAAATCAACTGGTGCTATTCAGGTGATTCTGTCATACAGGAGGAAAAAACATTGTTAGCTGTGTAATAATTGTATTATCATTTGTTTGTATTTCAGTAATGGTTTTAATAATATTAATCAATATTTATTAACTTTGGTTTTCAATAGATAATTATGGTAACTTAGCATCTATGGTATTTACTATGCACTTATGAAAAGCACAAAACATTGTATTGTTTATTTAGGTACTATAATATATTGTTATTGTAATATTGTTGGTAAATAAAATTATGTTTTGTGAGGTGGTGTTCTATGAAAAAATAAAACTAGCTGTAATTGATTACCCCCCCCCCCCCAATGTATGCAGACAATTATCTTCACCCTCCCCTTAGTGTGTACTAATTGCACAAAAATAAGTCTTTCAGAATAACTTTTTCCCCATTTAATTCATGTTTATAATACAAATTCCAGTAGAATAAATTAAAGATAAATGAATTTCTTAATCTGCAACATATGGTGCTGTCTTAATTACTTTGACTACTGGCCATGGTCATATGTCAACATTCTGACTAAATTAATTTAGTATTATAAAATCTAGATTGTTTGTCTATATTTGAAATTTAAATGATTGGAGGACAATTTATAAAATATTTGCTTGTGAATAAAAGTATTCATTAAACTTGCAGATGGCCATGACATCCTTTTCAATTGGTAACTCAATTGTGTGTGACAATATTAAATATTGTCCAATTATAACAATTTATAATTTTGTTGCCTAATGATGACAAAATTTTCAAATTTATATTATAAATATCAAAAATGGATAAATTACCCCCGGGGAGTACTCCCATATATGGACTATACGGGGATGATCCGCTGAACAGGGTATGGTTTTTCAAGCTTCGTGTCATAAACAGGGTATGCAATTTCACTCAAGTTCCAAGTTCTTCCTGAGTT